ACCAAACCCCCTGAAGACCCACTACCCCTGAAAACACACTACCCAACCACCTCAAACCCACTACTAACACTAGTCCACCATCATCGAAAATAGATCTGAAGATGGGGAGACGAGATGAACAAATTTGAAGATGGCAGATGAGGTGAGCCTCTTTGATCATTTTCCAACTGTGAGAGAAAGAGAGAGAATAAAATGGTGGAGTTTTAATACTTCCACCAAAAAAAATATGATTTTTGTTGCTAATGGGGTTCGATGGGTGAACTTCATTAAAGTTCTACTCTCCCATGTACGTGTTTCCATTATTTCCTATTTTTAAAAATGTTATTTCATTTTTTGGCCTTATTTTTAAAATATAGTTGCTAAAAAATCTAACAGAAATACATCACAAACATTTTTTTATTTTGACAAAAATTAAAAATAAGAACCGAAAAAATAGAAACAATGCGTTACCAAACATAACTTAAATTTTATGTTTTTTTTTATAACACTTTAATATGTATATATACTAGACTTGCATATATATATTTTTTTCTCATTTGTTCAAGTCGTAAGATCTTACAATTCTCAAACCCGTAGAAGTGGTCTAGTGATTGAGCCTAACCTTTGGTAACCTAAAATTTTTAGGTTCAATTACTTCCCACACCTTCTAAGGGCTAGCTATACTTGTTCTTACGCTGTAATCCAGCTCAAGCTACGGTGACCAACCGTTGAGCTCGAGAGAATAGTCAACGCAAATCTGGATACCATGTAATAAAAAAAAAATTCTTACAATTCTTAATCCGATCTTATAGCCTTCTCCATTGATCTAAAGTAAAATTCCAATTTTAAAAACCTTAATTCTACTCCAAATAATGATGCATNTTAAATAATTTGTTCCTCAAAATATAATTGAGAACGCACCGCCCAACCACCGGAAAACCACCACCCAACACCATTAAAAACCAACCACCAACCCCTAAAAACACACCACCAACACCTCCGAAAATACAACACCCAACCATCGAAAATCCACTACCAAACCCCCTGAAGACCCACTACCCCTGAAAACACACTACCCAACCACCTCAAACCCACTACTAACACTAGTCCACCATCATCGAAAATAGATCTGAAGATGGGGAGACGAGATGAACAAATTTGAAGATGGCAGATGAGGTGAGCCTCTTTGATCATTTTCCAACTGTGAGAGAAAGAGAGAGAATAAAATGGTGGAGTTTTAATACTTCCACCAAAAANTGACGTACCCGTATCCGATACTCGTCGAATATTCAAAGATATATATCAGATACACCTTCTACGTATCCGATAATAATTAAATATTAGGATCCTTCATATTCCAAATTCTTGATGAAGCAACGGGTCGGTTTGGACTAGGCATTCCGANTCCACCAAAAAAAATATGATTTTTGTTGCTAATGGGGTTCGATGGGTGAACCTCATTAAAGTTCTACTCTCCCATGTACGTGTTTCCATTATTTCCTATTTTTAAAAACGTTATTTCATTTTTTGGCCTTATTTTTAAAATATAGTTGCTAAAAAATCTAACAGAAATACATCACAAACATTTTTTTATTTTGACAAAAATTAAAAATAAGAACCGAAAAAATAGAAACAATGCGTTACCAAACATAACTTAAATTTTATGTTTTTTTTTATAACACTTTAATATGTATATATACTAGACTTGCATATATATATTTTTTTCTCATTTGTTCAAGTCGTAAGATCTTACAATTCTCAAACCCGTAGAAGTGGTCTAGTGATTGAGCCTAACCTTTGGTAACCTAAAATTTTTAGGTTCAATTACTTCCCACACCTTCTAAGGGCTAGCTATACTTGTTCTTACGCTGTAATCCAGCTCAAGCTACGGTGACCAACCGTTGAGCTCGAGAGAATAGTCAACGCAAATCTGGATACCATGTAATAAAAAAAAAATCTTACAATTCTTAATCCGATCTTATAGCCTTCTCCATCGATCTAAAGTAAAATTCCAATTTTAAAAACCTTAATTCTACTCCAAATAATGATGCATCATTGCCTATCCAAGAAAAATTAATATTCCAACATGTCACCTTAAAACTTTATTATGTTAGAAAAAGTAAAGATCAATCCCATGTTTTCAGGTCGACTCTCATCAATTATGTCAAACCATAATTTAATCAATTTGAGCCTTGACTTGATTCTTTTGAATTGTAAGCTACTAACTTTAGACACCATATAAACTTTCCTCTCATGATAATGTTGGGGTAGATGTGAGATTATGTAAATTAATGCACAAGGATATCTTGCTGGGCAGCCATAATAACGTCATCAGTCCAATCTCATTCACCTCTTTTCTACACTATCTGATATACAGAAGATTATGAGGACCTATGAAGTATGGATACTTCGTTGAAGTTAACGTACCTGTATCCGATACTCGTCGGACATTCAAAGATATATATCAGATACACCTTCTACGTATCCGATAATAATTAAATATTATGATACTTCATATTCCAAATTCTTGATGAAGCAACGGGTCGGTTTGGACTAGGCATTCCGACCTTAATGGGCCTTTTATGGATTAAATTTTGGAAGGCCGGGCTGATCTACCCTAAAATCAAGAGGGGCCCAAAAAAAGTACTACGACATAACCCGATGGTTCAACAATGGGTCTTCACATGATGGGTCGGCCCAGTTTATTGGCCGAAGGTGATTGGATCCTCGGGTCAACGCCGGAACAGAATGCGAAAGCAAATGACCAATTCCATCTTCTCCAAGAAGGAAACTAAAGCAAATCACAACCCTACAAGTGGTACCAACCAGTCAATGACGCTGCACCCTCCTCCCCCAACGAACCAACCAACAAATCTCTCTCTCTCTCTCTCTGTGGAATTCAAAGTGTAACAGCGAAGCATCGTCAAACCACCGTTCCACCACCTCCCTGATCCTCTCTGCTGTATTCACTCTCCCATTTTTTCACCACTCCCAGTACCCAAAACAACCACCAGCCCTATTGCAACCAGTTCTCCGTCTGTGTGTGTGTGTGTGTGTATACATATTTATACCCACTTACTTTTCTGTCTCAAAATGCAATCACCGATCCTTCCCATATCCAATCCCAACCCATCATCATCCTCAATGATTCCAACAGCTTCAGCAACGGCAAGTACAATGTTCCTCAGATCAGAGGATGATCTACCCTCAATCAGCCTTCACATTCCTTCATCATACGAGGATGACAAGAAAATCGAGACTAGACCCTTTCTTTCTAGATCCTCAAGTTACACCACCACCACCACCACCGCTGCCAATACCAATCTTTATCAGCAACGGCGGCGGCGAACCGCCAGTGACACGTCTCTATTAGATAGAGACCGCCGCCAGTCTTTTCGTGAAGATATGGGGCAGGCTGCTTCTACGATTACTCAGCTTACCTTGAAGATGTTGCGATATCTCGGGTAAATTTTCCAAATTTTTGGTTTTGATGTTTGTTCTCGAGCGCTTATTGATGATCTTGAATGGAATTGTTAACTGAATTGGGCTGTTAATAGTGTAATTTAATGTATTATAGTGAAGGAAATTTTATTTCATTTTTTTTTTCACTGCTGATAATTAATGATTTTTAGAGCTGAGTTTACAATAAATTTTGGTTTTGCAAATTGCTTAGTTTATAGATTAAACTAGGGGTAACCTATGCCTTCGCACACTGTGCAATGTGAATAGTTTTGAGATAAATATTGATAANCTTTGGTAACCTAAAATTTTTAGGTTCAATTACTTCCCACACCTTCTAAGGGCTAGCTATACTTGTTCTTACGCTGTAATCCAGCTCAAGCTACGGTGACCAACCGTTGAGCTCGAGAGAATAGTCAACGCAAATCTGGATACCATGTAATAAAAAAAAAATCTTACAATTCTTAATCCGATCTTATAGCCTTCTCCATCGATCTAAAGTAAAATTCCAATTTTAAAAACCTTAATTCTACTCCAAATAATGATGCATCATTGCCTATCCAAGAAAAATTAATATTCCAACATGTCACCTTAAAACTTTATTATGTTAGAAAAAGTAAAGATCAATCCCATGTTTTCAGGTCGACTCTCATCAATTATGTCAAACCATAATTTAATCAATTTGAGCCTTGACTTGATTCTTTTGAATTGTAAGCTACTAACTTTAGACACCATATAAACTTTCCTCTCATGATAATGTTGGGGTAGATGTGAGATTATGTAAATTAATGCACAAGGATATCTTGCTGGGCAGCCATAATAACGTCATCAGTCCAATCTCATTCACCTCTTTTCTACACTATCTGATATACAGAAGATTATGAGGACCTATGAAGTATGGATACTTCGTTGAAGTTAACGTACCTGTATCCGATACTCGTCGGACATTCAAAGATATATATCAGATACACCTTCTACGTATCCGATAATAATTAAATATTATGATACTTCATATTCCAAATTCTTGATGAAGCAACGGGTCGGTTTGGACTAGGCATTCCGACCTTAATGGGCCTTTTATGGATTAAATTTTGGAAGGCCGGGCTGATCTACCCTAAAATCAAGAGGGGCCCAAAAAAAGTACTACGACATAACCCGATGGTTCAACAATGGGTCTTCACATGATGGGTCGGCCCAGTTTATTGGCCGAAGGTGATTGGATCCTCGGGTCAACGCCGGAACAGAATGCGAAAGCAAATGACCAATTCCATCTTCTCCAAGAAGGAAACTAAAGCAAATCACAACCCTACAAGTGGTACCAACCAGTCAATGACGCTGCACCCTCCTCCCCCAACGAACCAACCAACAAATCTCTCTCTCTCTCTCTCTGTGGAATTCAAAGTGTAACAGCGAAGCATCGTCAAACCACCGTTCCACCACCTCCCTGATCCTCTCTGCTGTATTCACTCTCCCATTTTTTCACCACTCCCAGTACCCAAAACAACCACCAGCCCTATTGCAACCAGTTCTCCGTCTGTGTGTGTGTGTGTGTGTATACATATTTATACCCACTTACTTTTCTGTCTCAAAATGCAATCACCGATCCTTCCCATATCCAATCCCAACCCATCATCATCCTCAATGATTCCAACAGCTTCAGCAACGGCAAGTACAATGTTCCTCAGATCAGAGGATGATCTACCCTCAATCAGCCTTCACATTCCTTCATCATACGAGGATGACAAGAAAATCGAGACTAGACCCTTTCTTTCTAGATCCTCAAGTTACACCACCACCACCACCACCGCTGCCAATACCAATCTTTATCAGCAACGGCGGCGGCGAACCGCCAGTGACACGTCTCTATTAGATAGAGACCGCCGCCAGTCTTTTCGTGAAGATATGGGGCAGGCTGCTTCTACGATTACTCAGCTTACCTTGAAGATGTTGCGATATCTCGGGTAAATTTTCCAAATTTTTGGTTTTGATGTTTGTTCTCGAGCGCTTATTGATGATCTTGAATGGAATTGTTAACTGAATTGGGCTGTTAATAGTGTAATTTAATGTATTATAGTGAAGGAAATTTTATTTCATTTTTTTTTTCACTGCTGATAATTAATGATTTTTAGAGCTGAGTTTACAATAAATTTTGGTTTTGCAAATTGCTTAGTTTATAGATTAAACTAGGGGTAACCTATGCCTTCGCACACTGTGCAATGTGAATAGTTTTGAGATAAATATTGATAATTATTAATGTGTTTCTTTGAGACTATGAGATGGACTTATTGAGACCTACAGGATTTTATATTATAGATTATTGAGTATAGATATTATAATTTTTTACACATCAAAACAAGAGATTTTTTTTTTATTTTTAATTATAGATAACTAACNACTATTAATGTGTTTCTTTGAGACTGTGAGATGGACTTATTGAGACCTACAAGATTTTATATTATAGATTATTGAGTATAGATATTATAATTTTTTACACATCAAAACAAGAGATTTTTTTTTTTTTTTTAATTATAGATAACTAACCAGACATTGTAAAAAGGAACTATACATTATAATGTGTATATGATCATGTCCCATGAGTACTTGTTGCAAAAAAAATGACTAATCAAATCTTCTAATTTTCTCACCGTAAAAGCGGTCATTGATATGGTTGTGTGTGTGAAGTGAATTGTTCGGATTAATATGCTTAGAAAAGCATTAATAGGTGAAGTCAGGCACGTTGTAGATTTAGAATTCTAGTACTATGATGAATGACAACTCAAGGAGAGGAGTAAGCACCATAATTCAGATGCCACTAGTCAATGCATCAACATCTTCTTCTCCGGTTTATTTGCCTCTTTGCAACCACAGGAACAGTTTGGCATGACTTTGCCCTTGTGCACTTGGTTATAATAGGCAAGATCTTCCCTCGAACAGACAAAGGCCATTGTTGACTGTTGAGGGGACATTAGACTGCCAAAGAGCCATCCAAGTGAAGTGATATTCCTCTTCCACTGACACTCTATATGAAGAACACATTCTTCAAAACCACCTGTCTCATCATTCTTCTGTTCCCCTGTTTATGCTGCAAGCATTCAAGGTATCAAAGAGAGCTTTTACAGATCAACATTTCAATCTCCTCACACACTCTCCAGATGAGAGTTGCCTCCTACTGAACACTATAATCGATGATAAGTCATCATCGCAGAAATGATCACAGTCTATTTTCCTATTTTGGGTGTCATACCTGATATGTTTGAAGATCTCCCTCCGCCACTTCCTAATGCATTTAATGATCCAATGCAAAATGAAAATAGACTTCCACCTATCAGCTTGCTCCCATCCCACTTCCATATTTCCTCTCTGTTCCCTCCTCCTGTAGTTATTATTCTTTATCGCATGCTCCATCAATGATTTTCCATGAAATCTCAATCGAATTTGGGCTTCCTAATTCCTTGGATCCCTTCTTTGATTGGATAACACTCCATATTCCAGTCAACCATGTGGAACTGAACTCATTTATGGGCCCCATTATGGGAAATTCCTATGCAGCTTTTTAAGCCATTCCTGAACTACTTCTAATGTGGAAAAGATAAGCACAAAATATTGGAGGCTTTCAAGAGTGCCTATAAAAGTGTAAGTATGTCCCTTTCTGGCAAACATTGTTGGATGGGCATGCCAAATAAGGACATCAGGGACTCAGTTAGACAGTGCAAAAAGTGACCAGACTACCCACCTCTAGTCCCTCCCTAATCAAGTCATCTCAGTCTTTGTGTTCATTTTGCATTGACAGCTGCTTTAAATCAATGGATTGACAAGTACTTTGGATTCCACTTCTCAGCTCTGCAGAAGAAAATGGTATTATCACAAATAATAGTTAACAGATAATGATGGTGGATCTTCCAACCCCTCAAATATCAGGGCCTCTTATTATGCCTCCTTCAACTACACGAAAGCATTTTGCTAAACGCTTCAAATACCAAATGAAAGCCTGGGAGATTGTCTCTCTTTGCTAGTCCCACAGAAATCATTAAAGAATTTGGTTGGCATGCCATTTAACAAGATTGAAATCTAACCGTGCAAGTTTCAATCCTTTTCCTCTGCATAATTTCAAAAACCACCTTGTATATGGGGCTCCCTAATATGTAATGACATGCTTTCTCAATTCCTAGCTTGTTCATATAATATCCTCTTTGTCCACCCCATTATTTTTGGAAGAAAGCCATAGACATCTTGTCATTGCCATGCGTTGGCCCACATTTTCATTATTGCAGTTTCCTGTTCTGCGAAGGTTGTGTCTCTATTACCATCTGCTTCTCAATCAAATTAAGCTCTTAACTTATTTGTTGTTGGCCTCAACTGAGAGGTTTCTTGATAATGTTCTTTCAGCCTTGGTTTAATCTCCTCTGCCAACTCGACTTCCTGTGGAGTTTGTGCTCTTTTCCCGATACATGAAAGGGCTCCTTACTTTTTAGTTTTGTTAATTTTTTTTCAATACAGCATAGTCCGTCACTCTGGTTTTTCTTTCCCCTGCCTAGCTGCATCCTCCTTGAAAAAAAGGCACAATCCTCTTCTTAATGAATTTCTTGATATTTCTGCCACACTTTCTTTCCACCATTCCAAATTTCAAAAACCTCCTTATTCTCACTACACATCGTCCTTAGCAACTTCAAAGTTTGGGCTGGCACATAGACGAAATCTACATCACCTTCTAATTCTTTCTTGAAATAATTCCTCTTCAGTATACATACTTTTGAACTTGAATTGGTTTTTGTTTTGCTATAGAACCCTTGCCCAATGAGATAAGAATGTAATCTGATATTGGACTAGGTCAAAAGCCTAGGGAGGTATCTGATTTTGATATGCACTTTGCTACTCTTCTAACACCCAAAAACCATCTTCAATTTGGATTAAGCAGTAGAAGCTAGCAAAATTCTGAGAATTCTCCCTGCAGATAACTCCTATGCACAATATATAGAACAATTCCATGTTGAAGAATGTTTCCCTCTTAGAATCCTCCGAATATGTCAAAGACTCAAAGGTTCACCACAGCACCCATCAACAAGTCTACCGCACCATGATTTTCTTGCAGCATCAGTTGGAATCACCTCCATTTTAGTCTCTTGTCTGAAAACAATATATACATTCAATCATTTTGAATCGACTAAAATTGACTTCCATACGTTCCTCATGTCATCTCCTTGGACTCTGTTAGCTTGCATAATCTTCAATTCCTCTCAATAGCTCTTCCTTTATGTTATACTTAAAGCTCATCTCTCAACAACTCCCCTTTCCTTCTAATCCCTATTTAGGGACAAATCTTCTTCCTTCTTCGAACAGCCAATGCTTTCTCATTATCTCCTTTGAGTGTGCACATCTCATTACGGATCCATATCTCCCGGTAAAAGTTAAAGAAGAAGAACAAAGAGAAAAAGAGAGCAAAATCTCCTTCAAGTTATTGTCTTTTTCCCTGTAACCTAGATTGTGCATAGATTTTGTATGTAGTACAGATTCAAGTANGTTGTGTGTGTGAAGTGAATTGTTCGGATTAATATGCTTAGAAAAGCATTAATAGGTGAAGTCAGGCACATTGTAGATTTAGAATTCTAGTACTATGATGAATGACAACTCAAGGAGAGGAGTAAGCACCATAATTCAGATGCCACTAGTCAATGCATCAACATCTTCTTCTCCGGTTTATTTGCCTCTTTGCACCCACAGGAACAGTTTGGCATGACTTTGCCCTTGTGCACTTGGTTATAATAGGCAAGATCTTCCCTCGAACAGACAAAGGCCATTGTTGACTGTTGAGGGGACATTAGACTGCCAAAGAGCCATCCAAGTGAAGTGATATTCCTCTTCCACTGACACTCTATATGAAGAACACATTCTTCAAAACCACCTGTCTCATCATTCTTCTGTTCCCCTGTTTATGCTGCAAGCATTCAAGGTATCAAAGAGAGCTTTTACAGATCAACATTTCAATCTCCTCACACACTCTCCAGATGAGAGTTGCCTCCTACTGAACACTATAATCGATGATAAGTCATCATCGCAGAAATGATCACAGTCTATTTTCCTATTTTGGGTGTCATACCTGATATGTTTGAAGATCTCCCTCCGCCACTTCCTAATGCATTTAATGATCCAATGCAAAATGAAAATAGACTTCCACCTATCAGCTTGCTCCCATCCCACTTCCATATTTCCTCTCTGTTCCCTCCTCCTGTAGTTATTATTCTTTATCGCATGCTCCATCAATGATTTTCCATGAAATCTCAATCGAATTTGGGCTTCCTAATTCCTTGGATCCCTTCTTTGATTGGATAACACTCCATATTCCAGTCAATCATGTGGAACTGAACTCATTTATGGGCCCCATTATGGGAAATTCCTATGCAGCTTTTTAAGCCATTCCTGAACTACTTCTAATGTGGAAAAGATAAGCACAAAATATTGGAGGCTTTCAAGAGTGCCTATAAAAGTGTAAGTATGTCCCTTTCTGGCAAACATTGTTGGATGGGCATGCCAAATAAGGACATCAGGGACTCAGTTAGACAGTGCAAAAAGTGACCAGACTACCCACCTCTAGTCCCTCCCTAATCAAGTCATCTCAGTCTTTGTGTTCATTTTGCATTGACAGCTGCTTTAAATCAATGGATTGACAAGTACTTTGGATTCCACTTCTCAGCTCTGCAGAAGAAAATGGTATTATCACAAATAATAGTTAACAGATAATGATGGTGGATCTTCCAACCCCTCAAATATCAGGGCCTCTTATTATGCCTCCTTCAACTACACGAAAGCATTTTGCTAAACGCTTCAAATACCAAATGAAAGCCTGGGAGATTGTCTCTCTTTGCTAGTCCCACAGAAATCATTAAAGAATTTGGTTGGCATGCCATTTAACAAGATTGAAATCTAACCGTGCAAGTTTCAATCCTTTTCCTCTGCATAATTTCAAAAACCACCTTGTATATGGGGCTCCCTAATATGTAATGACATGCTTTCTCAATTCCTAGCTTGTTCATATAATATCCTCTTTGTCCACCCCATTATTTTTGGAAGAAAGCCATAGACATCTTGTCATTGCCATGCGTTGGCCCACATTTTCATTATTGCAGTTTCCTGTTCTGCGAAGGTTGTGTCTCTATTACCATCTGCTTCTCAATCAAATTAAGCTCTTAACTTATTTGTTGTTGGCCTCAACTGAGAGGTTTCTTGATAATGTTCTTTCAGCCTTGGTTTAATCTCCTCTGCCAACTCGACTTCCTGTGGAGTTTGTGCTCTTTTCCCGATACATGAAAGGGCTCCTTACTTTTTAGTTTTGTTAATTTTTTTTCAATACAGCATAGTCCGTCACTCTGGTTTTTCTTTCCCCTGCCTAGCTGCATCCTCCTTGAAAAAAAGGCACAATCCTCTTCTTAATGAATTTCTTGATATTTCTGCCACACTTTCTTTCCACCATTCCAAATTTCAAAAACCTCCTTATTCTCACTACACATCGTCCTTAGCAACTTCAAAGTTTGGGCTGGCACATAGACGAAATCTACATCACCTTCTAATTCTTTCTTGAAATAATTCCTCTTCAGTATACATACTTTTGAACTTGAATTGGTTTTTGTTTTGCTATAGAACCCTTGCCCAATGAGATAAGAATGTAATCTGATATTGGACTAGGTCAAAAGCCTAGGGAGGTATCTGATTTTGATATGCACTTTGCTACTCTTCTAACACCCAAAAACCATCTTCAATTTGGATTAAGCAGTAGAAGCTAGCAAAATTCTGAGAATTCTCCCTGCAGATAACTCCTATGCACAATATATAGAACAATTCCATGTTGAAGAATGTTTCCCTCTTAGAATCCTCCGAATATGTCAAAGACTCAAAGGTTCACCACAGCACCCATCAACAAGTCTACCGCACCATGATTTTCTTGCAGCATCAGTTGGAATCACCTCCATTTTAGTCTCTTGTCTGAAAACAATATATACATTCAAT